GATCTTCTTGTAGAAGGACCGTTCGAACATGCGCAGGTTGTTATCCGCGCGCGACCGCTCTCTCAGGGTCCTGAGCAGGTCGACCTTGGCGTACTTCTGGCACTCCTCCAGCTCCTCCACCGTCAGGGCCTGCGACTTCGTGCCCGCCGCACCGAGCATTCTGCGGGCCTCCCTCCCGTTGTTGACCTTGGTCTCCCGAGTGATGTTCAGGCTCGCCGCGCCCTGATCATGATACGAGACCAGAGAGACAGAGGGGGGGGGGGAGGGTACTCGTGTAAAAGCATGCGGTAGAAGCGGAAGGCCATTGACCTCGAATCCCTGTGATGCCGGGACGGAGGGATATGCCGGGTTTTCGCCGGCCCAGGTTATCTACGTCTCACAAGGATGAAGCAGAAGGTGGGGGGATGGGGGGCGTACTCGTGTTTGGCATGCCCAAGTTGTGAACCCTTTGAACGCGCGTCCTCTAGAGGCCAGAGCATTGAGAGAGGGGGGGGGAGGGACACTCATTTGTTTGCAATTGCCTTCAACATTTCACCGTTCATGCACCGTCCCTACCAATCGCGAGAAAATCGCGACGCACCGGGTGATAAAAAGTCGCAGCTGAGGCGGATAGCAGACACAGGTTTAATGCAGGCAGAGGAATGTTCTGAGGATAGCTCTGCATGACAAACGAGGTGTTCTGTCTCCAAGACGAAAACGAATCGGGCAGCAATTGGTGGGGGAGGGGGAGGCGTGCAACAGCAACGACGCGCCCGTGACGTCCCAAGCGCGAGGTCGTGCCGAAGCTGCCGATTGGCTGACGAGAGACACCTCGCAGTTCGGTGCAACCAGACCCTTGATCCCTCGATCCTCATCAAAGCACACGCAAACACAACCGAAAAGTTGTATATTGGCGCCAGAATGGGTGGGCCCATCAAACACACCACACACATTTGTCATTGGCCCACCAATTTGCGCGGTCGATGCGCATCCTTTGAAGCACTAAACGCACAGCATCATGTTGTACAGCCCACCCAACATCTTGCGGGCTACCGGTTTGCGCGGACGATGAAAACCCTTTCAAGTATTAAATGCGCATACACCATATTGTGCAGTCCGCCCAAAACACTTTGAGGCGGAAGCTGTTACCTGAGTGACTCTCTTTCCCCATAGCCGCAGCACCCTCTGCTTCTGGTTGTACTCGTATAGGGAGTCCTGAACAACACAAAAACGCCACAGAAGAAGACATGTGCGAAGGGGGCGAGATTGGGGCAAGGGGAGTACGAGGGTGGGGTGTGCGAGAGCGCAAGGATGCGCGCACAGGCGTGACAAGAAAACGACGTAGGGTTGGAGGAAGCCCAAGCGGACAAAGACCACCCATGGTGCGTATGCATCACACCGAACGAGCCCAGAGAGCGCGGAATGACGTCATCATCATGACCTACAGAAGAAGCTTTCTCAAATCCCGCCACCTTCCGTTTTGCCAACAACACAGGGGTAAACCGACTTTTAAGCTACACTGCAGAAGCGCAAACAAAACAAAACAGGAGGAAATTGACACTTCAGCTACACTGCAGCAGCGAGACACATCAATGCTATGCATACAAGATATCTTAGGGTGCGTTGGCGGCCCCAATCAAAAGGCCGTCGCCCGGGTTCTCCACGAAAAACAGATACTACGAGACCACTACAAACAACGGGATAGAGACAACAGCGGCGATGCATGTAGTTCATTGAGACATGCGATGGGTCGGGTGTATGATACTATAATAGTGTGTTGTGAGCAAAGGGGAGCTGGGTGGAAGACATACACCGAGAGATGCCCCCACAGCGGGGGCGTCGCGGAACGGTATCGAGGAGCACCCACCCGGGAGGTTTGTGGCTGCTGGGGAGCAGTGTTCTACTTGCAGATCGCACTTCGATCGCGCAAACCAAACAACTTAAACTTTCACGAGCAACACAGGCGGAAGCCGCCGCCTTCGACAGCGCCAACCTCTTGTGTACCACCGCTAATGATTCATGGCGAGGTTTCGCGTTGTAACACCCCACCCGCATACTCCACCCACCCACCTGCAAGTCCTGGTCCGCCTTGCGTTGCTCCTCCACGCCTTGCCTGCTCTTTTCGTTCAGGGCTTCCCTGGGGACAACAAGGAAAAAAAATCATAGCAGTACCACAGAAGGAACGCACAATAACATAGAGAGGGAGGTTTAGTTCATGAGCATACAAATATTCGAGTCAAGCACAAGAAGCGAAAATTGGCGGATACACATGATAGGCGAAACCCATATAGAGGTTCCGATTCCATGACATCGACTCAGGGTAATTCGGCGCACTGCCTGTGCAATGACAGCCAAAACAGCCAAAACAGCA